TGTGTATATATATGTATATATATACACACACGTATCTATTTACACGAATATATTCAATAAATATGTCAGAGCTCTTCAAGATCAAACTGATCAGGCATTGGGAGATGCTCAGAATCAATTAACGCAATCGGACTCCGAATTAAATAAGGCGTTGGATCATAATAAAATGATGGAGGGACAGCAGTTACAACTTGAAAATCAAGTGAAGGAATTACAACAGGAAATAAACAATCTTAAAGCAAATATGACACAATTGGATCATGGAAAAGATCAATTGTTGGTGAGTAACATAGATTGTATTACAAAAAAATTAATGATAAACATATGATAATGAATAATTTTTATTAGATGGTATTGGATGAAAAGACGGAAAGAATAGCTATTTTAGAGAGAGAAGTAATGTTAAAAGACCAACAAATAATGGGAAGTGAGCAACAAATTCGTGATTTGCAACACAAAAATGAGTGAGTACTACATATATTTTAATAATTCGATACATTACCAAAAATTTAATGATTGTTTAGAAATATAATTATTACATTTTAAACTATTATTATAAAATCTATATGTTTCCAAAATATTCGTAGTAAAATTGATATTTAAATAACAAATTTGATCAAAACTTTATTCATAACTGATTTGTTAATAAATATTTAAATTTCAAGTATTGTGTATATAAGTATGTTTGTATAGTAGAACTTGAAGTAGATTAGAATTACATGGAAACTATTATAATACTAAGACATTAAATAAATAAGAATTCTTACAAGATTTTTACGAAATTATCAAAAATATTTTACGCGTAACATTTGTACATTATTTACACATAGTATCTAAAAAAAATGCATGCAGCAGTTCATTTTATCACTAGCATATATTATTATGCACAGTCTGGTTTTCCTCAATTAAAAGTTTATCAACTTTGCTCTTTCATTAAGAAACTTTGCTAAACTCACTGTGGGTGGTTGACAGCCACCTAAAGAAAGGAGATTGTTACTTTCTAATTCAGAGATTTGTGAGTTTTCTGTAATTCTCTTATATCCAGGTCTACATTCACATCTTGCTTTTGGCTTTGATTCTTCTTTTTTCCATAAACTTTGTTTCGGCATTCTTTGTGCAACCAGCCATTCTCCTGCAGTACATGGACCTTGTGTATATAACTTGTAACAGGTTTTATTTATTTCCACCATTCCTGGGATGGACTCGCAGCTGTCATTAGTTTCGTCTGAACATTTTTCCGAATCTCTTAATATGTTTATACATCCACATACTCCATTGTAGCTGATTCCATCAACGGATGGTCGAACATTATAATCATACAAAACGATTTGTCCGTTCGGACATGGTCCCTTGGTTCCTATCTTATAACACGTTTTTTCTTGTGGAAAGTATAGTCGTCCTCGTTTGCAAGGTACAGGAATACAAGTCGTCGAGTTTACTAGCATGTAACCATTTTCACATGGTCCTTTTGTATAAAGTCTATAGCAAAATCCATTTTCATAAAGTATGTAACCTGGTTTGCATACACACTTAGCTCGAATTATTTCTTCGTTGGTTATTATATTTGTTATAATGAAATGATGTCCCTGTAGACATGGACCAATACTGCCTGGTAAGAAGTGAATAGTTTATTAATAATGTAAAATATAGCCATAATGTAGCGAGATCGTAAAAATTGTCAGACATTACGATAAATATGTTCTGAGTGCTGCAACATTAATTAGTGCCGATACTTGATAGTTTAATCTATGATCTCGCTATATCATAACAGTGTAATTAACGATCTCGCTATATTATAATTATTACTATAATATAAAGTGCTACACAATTGATGGAAGTTTTTTGCTATGTTTCATATTGTCTTACCTAACTGGTAACACATTCCAGTTGATTCATGATAATGAGGTAATTTCGAATGACAACCACACATACCACCTGGTAAAAATAATTCTCCAGGTTCTGTACATGGCCCTTTAGTGTAATGTTCATGGCAACCACCCACACTACCTGCCCAGTGGTATCGTCCAAGTTCTCCATTTGTAGAACAAGAACATATTGCTAAACCATCTTCATCTGTAATGAGGAGTTCACCTTTTGGGCATGGACCCTTACTAAATTTTGGGTAACATTTTCCATCTCTAGGCCAATAAACTTCTTCTTTCCCTGTGCATGACTCTGGATCATGACAAACACCCCACCTTTATACAGAATAGAGATATGTTTTTAGATCTGTATATTTATTATTATCTTCTAAATTATTGAAAATATAAAACAGTTATTATTACAAAAGCAGATTTAAAAAAGAATTTTTATAAAATTTTTATGAAGATTATTAGATTTACAATTTGTTCAATAAAAATCTACTAGGTTTGTTAGTTGTAATGATTTTGCAATACCTAGATTTTCCAGAAATCTCTGGTACAGGTGCAAAAAATTGTCCCTTTAGACAAGATGCTCTTGTATATATTCTATGACAAAGAGCATCTCTAGGAGACTGTGCAGTTCCTGGAGGACACCTGCATTCAGCTACAATTCCACCTCCACCTGCAGCTGGACCCAGCTCCATTGTCTCTGGACATGGTGTTCCAATCTGCTAATCAAATTCATGATTAGATTATTAACGATTACATTCAATTAACTAAAAGAAAAAAGGAATAAACGAAACTGATTCTCTAATGTACATTCTATTAAAAGAACTCCAATGGCTTTGTAAAGAGAAATGCAGCACCTGCCTGGAATATTCTGTAACACTTTCCATCCGGCGGCCAAAATAACAATTGCCAGCCACGTGGTTGAGCAGCGCAAGGATTACTTGACGGATCTGCCCATGGCGGAGGTATTATCGCTGACTTTATGTGAACCACTGATGCGAACCAAATAATTACCAATAGATTTCGTAAAGCGCTGAAACATATTTGGAGGATTTATGTTTAGTTGAGATTGAAATTTAATGGAATGATTCAGACAATATTAAAATTTCGAATAATTTCAGAAACTTAAAATATTAAATGTAAAGGTATATTAATATGCAATTGGTGTTCAATGTAATTGACACAAGATAGAATTTTGAAGTATGAGTAAAGAACTAATAGGATTCTATAATTTTAAATGGAATAATAGCCATAGTACATCTTAATTTACTTACTAGATATTTTTTAAATAGCATTAAACTGATCTTCAGTTCTTTATTAATGTACTTCTATTAATGAGTTTTTTAAAATAATTAATAAATTGTTGTGCATTAGGTCAGAACAGTTTTCACTTGAGTATTTTATGTTTGAGAACTATTGAATAACTACATAATCATAACTAATATAGATATGAAAAGATACAAATATGAATGGTTTTCATACTGAATAATCGGACATTAATTAATTTTTAGGTCTGCTATTCACTTGTAGAGATATATAGCATCAGTCTTATGGAACATCAGGCACTTTCTTATTTGGTATGTTTTTCATTGATTCTCATTCATATAGGAAAGAAAGAAGAAAATGTAATGTAAAATTGTCAGAGTAAGAAAGCGTCTATGGTTTTAGCTTAATCAAATACCTGAAACCGGAAAACGACGATTGCGATAGGAAATGTTATCACGTATTCGTGTCTACGTATGTCAAGATCGAGGGTACAGGTAGAAAAGAGCAAAAGCACGACAGAAATAAAATGACCATACTTTCACTGTTTCACTATGGCAATGGCATTGTCCCTGGTGGCAGGGCTTGAGATGACGACATGCATGTGGAATAAGAATACTATCTCGTACATGTGCCGCACAAGTGTTGTAAACTGAAAGCAAAAACACTTTCCTCTTTTTACATTTTCGACTTTATTCATTTGTAGACGGACCAGTTGATTTTCACTGATATCTGGTTACTTGTTTTAAATTCGATTTTTTAACCTTTTAAGCACATATATAAATTATTGACAATTCATTTCACATTGTATTTGGTTACGTTTGAATAGTACATAAATTTTCCGACAATTTGTGATTTTTGATATAGAAATTTTAAATAATATTTTCTTTACGAATATCTAAATTTATTATTATTTATTACAACACTTTCTAAACAGAAGTATCTTTTTAAATTAAGGGATTTGATAAATTTGTTAATATTTGATTATTTTTCTTAAACCTCTTGTTCCACACAAATGATGCATTTATTTTTTCAATTATTAACTTTTATATTGATATTTTTCTTTAGATCTAAAGTATTTTTTATTTTATTTTTAAATTTCGTAAAATAATATCTACTGTAGGTTTGATAAATTGTGAAAAATTTAAATTGGTCCAACGATAAAACGGTCATTTGTCAGTAAGATAGCGCGCGCGCGCTTTTTCTCCCAAAATCAAGGAAGTAATTACAGGATGTAAGGAACCTTGGCACTTGGATCTTAATAGTTGTTAGACAAGCTTTCTTCTATGACTTTCCATTGCAGCAGCGGAACGAGTTTTGCCGATAACTCACTACTATTTTATTAATTACATTTCTTCATTTATTATTCCCATTTATAGGCTGTGAGTGTTTCAAGTATACCTATGATACTCTCAATTTAAGAAAATGCCATTTAAGTTGTTATTCGGTAGTTATTATATTTATTTCATCATATTTCATCATTGTATGATATATAATTGTATCGCTACAATTATAGAAATATTATAACAATTTTTATAACTATATTTAAACGTCTTTGAGGAATATGTTACATTGATGATTTTAAATGGCCACTTTTAAACATATTGAAGTATAGTACATAGTTCGGCTTTGGACGAGCTCATTAAGGAAAGTCGCATGGTCGCTAGAGAACTACTGCGAATTACGGAATGTCATTCTTCCTTTTCCTATGTGATTATTATTCTTCATTGCCAAACTGGTGTGACCGCTCCACGCAACTAAAAAGTGAGAGTATTAGAGGTGGATTGGGTAAAGCAGTGTTTTCGTATTGTCTTCGTACACATGCCTATTTTATAGTTATACAAGCATCACATAAATATATTATTTAAATCTTCATATAATTTGTTATAAAACAGCAAATTAAGTTTATTCTAAAGTGCATTTACGCGTAGAGATATTTAGAGATTAATATTCATACATACATTCTTTATAATCATTCGTATGTTAGGAAGTGGTTTTGTGATGTGGGATAAGAATTATGTAAATGTTTGCACTTCAAATTTGATATATATATATAGTTTATTCACTAATAACCTGGAAAATTATATTCGCGAAGATCGTCTATGTAGCATTAAGTATCCTTTGTGTTGCGGCAGATCTTGTTACAAGGGCTTGTAAAGCTCGGTGAAAACGAACAACGCGACATCTCGCGATATTACACTGGTAACTGGTTTGTATTTGAAATAGCGAGATTGACACTGGTATCAATTGTATCATTACAAATGTGACTCTGCCGAATTACACAGTATACAGACAGCAGATAGTTCAATTTTTATCTCTACTGAGCCTACAAATATATTTGGTGGAAGTATTGTACGTTTATAAAATCTGTCACACTTGAAAGTATGTGTTAGGTTATCGAAACTGAAATTCGAGAACGTCTAAAGAGTTTGCGTCTAGTCAGGACCGTATGATGTTAATTCAGAACCATTGGTAGTTGAAACTACTTTTTCTTAGAACCTTTTTTAGGATTTCTTATGTTATGTATACAGCTCTAAGTATGGTTAAGTTATTGTGTCCTCACTTCAGGCTTTATTAACGAGTGTACAGTATTACTTCCACTGTTTGTATATCAGAGAATATTAGACAACACATTGTGAACAGATCTTGATGGATGATAATCTATAATTCATTATATTATCATCCTAAATAATACGTTCTTATTTAATACGGATGCAAATCAGGTTATTGTAGAACTCACAAGAGCGTGCTGTAAAAATATCAGTTAAATTTTTCATTCACATAAAAATTTCAAAGTTCGTATTAAAAACTCTAAAGAAAAAGAAAAATTCAATTTCCATAAAAAGAGAAAAATATGTACTATTTATTTTTCAAATGATATGCATAGTTGTGCAATTAATAAGTGTTGCAATTAATGGATGAAATAATGCACTTTTTGCGGAGTAATCGTACATTGATGATTATATCTTGAGCAATAAAAATATATTTAGATGAATCAGATATGATATTTACATTGATTTATGATATCATTCGCAGAGTTGATGTTTTTAATTAATTGTTTAATTACTTGTTGCGGGATAGGTACGCATTGCATCAGAACTTTCACGTTTACTGTATTTTAATGCGCGAACATATCATAAATTACTATGCTCATTTACGATGACTAATTGGAGGAGTTTGAGTGAGATTACGTAAATCCAGAGTTCTAAATTCGTATTTTAAATAACTTTTATAAATCTCGGCTATGTGAACTGGATTGAATATACTAAATTAGGAAATTTTTTAATGTATTAATGGATGCAATTTTTTTTAGTGATTATTATTTTTTTTTAAATAATCAATGAAGTACCAAATAATATGGAATATCTTTTTGTAAAAATATTAGCAATTTTTTTTTTTTTAGAAAGGTTTAAATCAATATTTAATTTTACGTATACCTTAGCAGGTTGAATTTATTAATATTTAAAAATATTTCCTAATAAACAGACGAGTGTTAGAAAATATGTAGCCATAGTTACACAGTTCGCAATAATGACGGCAACATTCGGCGCAAAATTATTAGTGTAGGTGTTCAGTTCATATTTTCCATTCTGCTTAGCTTGATATCGTTCAGAAGTAGCGAGGAAGATACAAGGGAATCATTGATGGCATTTTTTGCGAAAAGAAGAAATAAACATGAGTTCCTTAAAAGGTTACTCTCATGGTTATACAGATCGTAACGGTGACAGGCGTTATAGGTATGATTCTTCTGTCATTTGTTTTTCGACTAATGAATTATTATTATTATTATCATTATTGATTGGTCAAATTACGAATTATTCGTATTCAATTTGACAGATTCTTCTTCTTCTTAAAAAAAAAAAAGAATTTGTTATTTGTCCTAACACGATTTGGAAAAATTTCCATTAAAAAGTTTTAATTTTCAAAATATTTCCTATTGTTCCGAATAAAATGAATTATGATTTAATCAATCAATGTTTAGATGATTTGATGTTAATACACATATTATAAAGAGAAAAGGAAAAATAGAAACGCTTTTCGAATTTTTTATTTATAATTAATCTTTTCATAATCATGGACATATATTCGTATTCCAACACACTTGTTGCTTTATGCTACGCCATCTGTCATCTCTAGTGACATAACTCATCTCTCGTTGGACCACTTTCTGATGCGTTTGTACTTCATATCTCTTTCACGTTCCAGTCTACCTTACAGTTTTTATGCGCGTTACATAATAATGGCGCGCGATAAAAATCAAGTAGGGTTATGTCAGTAGCAGGTCGCATTTTAAAACAGATGTTTCATAGCTTGGCCGTTTTCTTTGAGTAATTCAACTCTGTTCTAGGATACGCTTCGCACGTATGTATCTTCGAAAAGGATTACCATAATTGTTTAACTTTGGACTTTCATTGCCAACTAGCTTTCTCCTTATTCGTGTGGCTTAAATGTAACGATTAGCTGTCGTCTGTTTAGTTAGATGGCTGAAATTCTTTGACTCTGACATGGTTGTTGAAAAGGTATCAAATGTATTTTGCTTTGTTTCTATAATCTTTTATTTCGTTCAGTGTAATCCAGTATATTTTTGTTCCTTTGATTTCCCATTAAAAATATGTCTAAGATAAGGTATATTATTTGTTTTAGATGATTTTATTCGAAGAAGACAAAATACTACAATTGCCAACATTTATAATAATGTTTTATACACAGAATTTTTGTTGGTAAAATTTATTATTTATTATTCAGTATAATATTGTTTGTAATTAACGTTTTATATACACGATATTTGATATTTTGTTCATTCGCTTAAATTTTAGAAATGCGATCTTTTAAATTTTTAATTAATTCAGTACCATGTCGATAAATCATTAAAAAGAAAGATAATCATATTTAACTTTTTTTAAATCTTAATGGCTATTAAATCTCTTGAAAGAAATCTTAATTTAATAATTATGAATATTTAAAAGATCTATTAGCATATATTTTATTCTTTTTTGTATGCTTTCACAAAAATCTAATAAGACATTTATAATTCATTGATGTTTCAATTTTCTCTTAAATTACGATTAAACGATAGAAGCTATTATTTAAAATTATTTTGTCTAAAATAGGACTTAATTTAACTGTTATCTTTAGCAATATAGAAATTTGTGTTAATTAACAAGATTAATTAATTTGGAATTTCACTCAATGAATCTTCATGGTTTACATTGTTTTCTAAATCAGCCACACTGTCGCTTCCTACTTAAATCATTCTAGTGACAAGATTATGCAACGAGACGTAATCACTGAATAATACCATGGAATTAATTTAATCTTCAATCTTGTCCTAGAATCTCTTGCAAAGTTCAAGTCTTGACATTTGTATTAGAGAAATGAATTAACCTTTCGAGATTAGTCATTATTGTTATGCAATTTTTATCATAAATATATAATAGAAAATTTATCTAGACTGTAACGAATGAATTTTTATCAAATTATAATAAAAGTAAATTTTAATCTATTATAAAGTAACAAATTTTGTTTTTCAAATTAATCAACGTGGTGTATTGGGATAATTAGTTTCAATAATACATAAATATGATTATCAATAAAATGTTAAACAATGAAAAGTCATATTTTTATGGAAATTAAAAAATTTTCGAACATGAAGGAATTTACGCGAAATCGAAATTTGACAATACATTATTCCTAGAAAGTAACGAGCATTGCCTTTCATGAGGTTGCAGGAAGGAATAAGTGTATTTCTTGGTAATGTTACTAAGTGGTATTTCTTTATGGTATGTTCGTTTTTTTAATTGCATCGTTACATTTTCTTCGCGTTATGCGAATTATCGGTTATTCGTCATTCCTGTACTCTACATATGCTCTTCGATATCAGAATTCTTCTGATATTTTATCGGCTTTGTAAGTTTCATTTTCAATTTGTACGCATTCGTTTATTTTCTTAAATTTTTTTAGATTTTTAATTTTTTCCAATGATTATGTATATTGTACAAGAAACTTTAAATTTAGTACAATTTATAACAATTGTTATTTGATTAACTAAATATTCTATATAATAATATTTAATAATTTATTATAATGTTTTCAATGCTATATTTTTAGTGTTTATTTATTACAGTAGGATCTGATCACGAATGAAATAGTTACACATTATAGAAAATAATTGATTTGTAAAAGTAATTCGTTCCATTTCTCTAATTTATTATAAATAATTTAATATTCATTTTACAACACTGATAAAGTGTTGTAAAAATTGGAAATATAAAAATGAATTTAACAATACGTATTAATGATTAAATATAAATTAAAAATACTTTTTAATTTCATTGAATATTAGGTATGATACAATAGAGATAAAAAATAAATTTAATTCAGAAATAATTTAAATTTCTGGATAGAGGTGTTGATACTTTATATTAAAAAAAGTAATGTACAGTAACATTTTTATGAGGGAGAAAAATAAAGAAAACAAGTACTTCATTCAGTGAACATACATTAAAATAATTTATATGTAACTGGGGTGATATTCCATAAGGATCACTTCATCAAGTAATAAAATAACAATTTTTAAAAATATTTAAACAATGTAGAAAATAAAAATAACTTACAATGACGTTTTCATGGTGAAGACGTGTAAGAATTAAACTTTTCATTAATCACATCACAGATATTCACTAAAGTTCACTGTGTCCTTTTAACGCAAATGTTTGACATCCTGCGATCGATACGAGTCTTACGAAACGAAAAGCGGTGGTGTTCCCTCGAGTACTGCTGCAAGACTGAATCGACATCGACTCCGAATCACCTCCGCGACTTCATGCTGTTACCTAACTTCCCCAAGACAAGAACTGAATCTTCTAGTCCCGACTCTTGTCTCGCTTTTTTGGTAGTTTCGTTTTATCCTCGACGATTACGCTGCTAAAACAGAAGAAATAGTTGAACGGTAGTTTACTTTAACGATTTAATCAGACCGTAATTATATCTGATTGATACAAATTTGATAATTAAATAATTGTGTAATTGATGAAATTTTTAACTCGTTCCAGAATGTATTTTTTTTAGATTTCCTAAAATTTTTGTAATTGTATATAAGTAGTCTTTTATTGCACATTATTTGTGTATCTTTACCTTTTACTTGTTACCTGTTATTGCCCATTATTTGTGCATCACTATTGACTATTCATTATTTTTTATTTACTATTTTCTATGTCTTACTCTTGCCTTATTATATCATTTTTTCTCATTGTTTATTAGTTACTACTATGTTCATTACTCACTACTTATTACTTACTGATTACTATTTTCTGATCATTATTAATTATTCAGTAATTATTAGTTACTACTCTTTATTCATTTCCACTTCATTATCCATTATCCACTAGTTATTACTTGGTTATTCATACTTTCCATTCGTCATTTCTTATTCAACTGCCTACTGGCTACTAGCTGTTTAACACCTATTATTATTAGTGCAGTAAGTGTATTCATTAAATCTATTCACTAATCATTACATATATTTCATATTACACGATAAACTTCATTATGTAAGAGAATATTTTATAGTTATAAAATTCCTTGATTATGTAAATATCATTTATGGGATTTATATCTCTACTTTCCTTTGCAAATTTCTCCATTTCCCAGATTAAACTCCAGCATACCTACCAGATATAACATGTTTCTTTAGTAGAATACAACACTACTAATAATTCTGTAAAATGCACATTATTTATCTAACCAAACCAATTTTGGTTATTTAACCACATAACCATATAAAATTCCTAATCTCAAATAACACAACCCTGTATGCCATAAACGCTTTCTTTGCTGCATATACTCACCATGCTTACATTTCTAACCGCAAAAATTCCCCATCGCGTATCCTGTTCAATACAACGAAAACCAGAATCGGATCTGCGATAGTTCCGCAATGGTTCCGCGGTTCGAGGGGGCAGTAATGTCTCGTGCGTGGGCATTTGTAACGTTCGACATACAATAGGAATGAAATCATGCTAGAATATTTCCCAATCCAGTCGGAACCTGCCACTCGTAATAATTTCCATCAAAGTTTATTTATATAATCGAATTGCAATATCGAGAGATTGTGTGACTCAGTTGCAGCAAACTCACTGCTCCTCTGAGAATTTCCAATTGCGAAATTTTCGTGCGGTCGAATGAGACTTTCGTTGTCGTTTGACCTCCGAGAGGTCGCCTCGAGCGTCCACCGCGGAACACATTTTCGTCAGTCGAACTGTTGCATAATTCCGAAAGAACGAGAGTCAGCGTCCGGCTGGATCAGCTAACGGAAAGCGCATAAACCCGACATCCACGTCTCTGAGATCCTTGTACACGGATGTCCGTATACTGGCATCTTTGTGGCCAGAAGGAATCTTTAGACCTTTAACCCTGTTAAACGAGGCGGATGAGTTGTCACGTTGTTTAAATCTCATTTTCCTAGTGATTTTGATGGCTTGACACTTGAAAGATGAGATTCGTGTATTATAATATTCGATGTTGGTTACTCGAAATGGATTCTATCCATTCGTATTTTATCTTGTATTCGTAAGATGGTTAGATTGTTAAATGATATTAAGAACGATGCAATTTTAAATTTCTTTAAATTTATTTAGTAGATTAAATCGAAAGATTTTAGAGAAGTTAATAAAAAATAATATGAGTTATATATTACACACTATCATTTTTCATTTATTCATATATCATTATGATATATTGTTGAATTAACCTAACCTAACTCATTCTATTCAGTAAAAGTTTGACTGAAATAGTTTTTATCCATTTTACTGCAAAAATCATTTCTGTGAGGACTTAACTTCCGCTTATATAATGGGACTTAAATTCTCGTCTTCTTCCTCTAATTCAGCGAATGGAGAAGTAACTTTTATTTCTACCCCTTTCGATTCGGTAGTTTATACAGAGTTCTATAAAGTATGCTGGCGGAAACAATCTAACATCTGTTCTCAGAAGATTAATAGTTATGAATGTTCAGGAAATATTAATATGTCGTTTATCTTTCGATGCACTTTGTGATATTTCTTCCTCGTTACTTTCTTGTAATATTCTCTAGATTATATGCTTACTGTGATATGGAAAGTTGACGATAGTTGAAAATATAAAGTTTATATAGAGTTTACGTATCATTATTCTGTACATTAAAATAAAATCGTGTGTTCATATATCTTATAATTTCCTGTAATCACATTTTTGTTTGCTAAAGCAAATGTAATAAACATATAAATTAATTACTGTTTTCCACTTTAAGCAGACAAAATAAATTTTTAAAAATATATTAGAATAACTTCATTAAGTTTGTTATATAATGATATTATGTTTATAAATTCATCAGAGTAACAATATAGTACGACAAACAATATAATTAAATAACTATGATTTACTTTCATATATATTCACTCGCATATAATGAACAAACACAGTTATATTTTCAACTTAATATATCATTATAGAAACTTTTATTTATCTATTTATCAATCTTAGGATCCATCTACATCAAATTCAGTTTTCGAAATTACATCATTACATAACTCCAAGTCACGTAACTGACGTAACCCATTACCAAACAGTAAATTCAGTTATTAGAATCGATCAGACGAGACCTCTGAAAGAGTCAATCTGACTCAGCTTGATCTTTCCTCCCCATTTAATGCTTGCATTCCTTTTCGTAACCTGAGTTAAATAAAATGAGAAATTTCATCTATAAAATACTATTTACTATTTCGATTTCAAGTTTACATCTAGATAAACCTTATTTCATTCAAATAAATATGCAAAAGTTCAGGAGATACAAAGATTTTTTAACAAATTATAATTACGTAACATTTATTAAAATGTTCAAAATTCTATCAGTTCAGGAAAAAGATACCTTATCTTGATACCAATTTAATAGGCATATATAAATACCTTCTGTAAAGATGTAATGTCTTGCTAAGAAAATTTATATACATCATTCGTAATTCAAGGATTATATCAGCTATAACTTAGCTGGTAGTATGCTAGAACGGAGGCAAATGAATCTTCGATGGAAGCAAGCTTTGTAACATATCTTTCATGGCGAATATTTCTTGGACAGTGGAGGAAGATCAGAATGTGACTTTTATATGGAGATTTAAAACGACGGCAGGCTCTGTTTCAGAGAGTATCGCATAATCTCTAGGATCAAAGAGTCGAAGAGATTACAACGGTTCTCGTGTAGTATGCATCCTGTTGCGAGTGCTTCTCACGTGCTGACGTTCCCTGCATTTCGAGGAACCGTGCAATGCCCTTTACCTGTAACGGTAAAGGTGAACGGCACCTCTAAAAGGGCGTTCGTTATGACATCGAGCACCGGTAGATAGAGAATTCTGGCCTGGACACCCGATCGGCATAGATACCGTCTCGTGCGTGTAGGGCGATGCACTCCACCGTGTGAACCATTTCATGAACTTTCGATCACTGTGTGGTTCTAAGCGTCGATCTTTGTTCGTAACTCCTCGACATAGTAGAGGGTCGATTTTCTATTCACAATACATGTTTTAATCTCGTACTTCGTTACTATTGTTTTATGGTGAATCCATTGCCTTGATGACTTTGATCAAAGTTTCCGATAAAAGATGTATGACTAGTACATCCGTTTCTATTATGCTTTCATCTGAAAAAAATTTAAGTCATTAGTAATTTGATACATCGAGGAAGCAAAATAAAAGAAGTTATACTGGTAATAAATTCATATAAAAAAGTGATTGATAAATAAATTTTACCTTGCAAGCTGTATCATTTACAATCTGATGAAAAGAAATCTTACATTCGAAAGCTCTACTTAACAAACTCTCTAGTGACGTTCAAGTTATTCCACGAAGTATTGCTGAAGGAACCTGGGAAATTTCATTGCTTAACACATATTTGAGTCATGATTGAATTGAATCATGATTGACAGTACCATCTCTGCTATTATACACGATGAATTACGTTACACTACATTCAACACCATACTTCGGAATCAAGCGGATCGTAGTACCACGAAAATTCCTTAAAAGGAATTCGAAATCATCAAGACATGATTGATTGTACTCGAGAATCTTAGAGGTATATAACAACCACGGAGCCCACACAAACAAGCTTTTCCATCGCGTCTTCGATTTCAGGGACATTCTTCAGGATGAACGAGAATGAAAGTATGTCTTGCTCAATGACGATGTCTAACGGGACGAAACGCACGTGTGATGACCTTCGTCATTATATCGAAACTTTGAATTTCGTTCAGATGGATTTAATTTTATTCCTAATACCTTGTTCTCTGTTGCTTCATTTTCCTCTCGTTGAAGTATGTCTGTAACACATGATAGAGATAATTAAAATATAAACATACCGGAAAAAGTAGTTAAAACATAAATATACTTAAAATGATAGCTGGAATATAAAGATAGCATAATTTATAAGATTTCATCTACCAGGTATTTAACAGTGATATAAAATATTAAAAAAAATTGTATTTGTTTATTTTAAATTCTTTTGTTTATTCTCATTTAATATTGTACTTTGGAATAAAAACTTAAACTTCATTACTTGATTGAGTTATAAAATATACATGTGATATATCACATTTTGATAATGCAGTTTGCATTTGTTATATATTTATCAATGTACATATTATAGTTTTATATGTATCTATTTTAGAACCTGTAAGAGAAATTATAGAAAAGTTATACTCATTAATAAACATTTGTTCACAATATTAACATGAAGAATATAAGATAGTCTATATTGTATATTATATTAGAGACAGAATATTGATATAGAGTATTGCATCTAAGCAAAAGGAAGTTTTCTTTGATGTACAATTGAGTCATAAATTTAGTAACTATTGAAATAAATTCATAAAGTTTAAACGACTAGGAGAATGAAAGTTTGGGAATTAAAATACTTAAGAAGAAATTTAAAATTTTCTCAGAAATATGAGGAAGAAAGTATTTACGCGAAATGGTATAGGGCATAGCAGAGAGACAATTTTTCAAATTGCACTCATAATAAATTTAATGATAGTATAATTTAATTTCTTTCAAAAGTCTAATTAATCTTGCAAAATATAAATTGTTGAATATTTTGAAGTTTTAAGAAACCAAAACGTTACATAAAATATAGAAAAGACGGAAAAAAAGTGAGCTCGAAACTTTCTTATTTCGTAGAAAGCGTAAGTTACTTGCCACACTTATTATATTATTGTAATACTGACGATATTTCGTGCTTTACTACATCGAGATTACTTATATGTATTTGTATCGTGATTTTTTTACTTCTTTGATGATGTGTTATGCACATGTTAAACGTAACTATAAATTGAAGGTTTCCAACGTTGATTTGCGATTATGAAAGTACCTTGCTGGAATATAAGTAAACTCTTACGGCGATTAAATGAGAGGGAAATGAATACTGGTGAACTTCCGCAGTCGTTTCATCCATGTATGTGACGCATATTAGAACTTATGTTTACATGTATGCTATAAATTGCTGCATTTTTATTTCTATTTTTCTTTTCTTTTTCTTTTTAATATATTCCTCTATCTTTTCTCGTATCCGGCGGATGCTGACTCTCGAGAGTCTATAAGAGAGAATTATTTATCTGGAATATAATTGAATGCCTGAAATATATATAGGTTGCGTTATTAACAAGTAAAAACAATGGTAAAAAATAGTAAAGGAATAAGTATATCACTCAAAATATACGATTATCATATGTTATTAAAAGATTTTTGATTGCTCAATTTTTATATAATTGTGTCGTATTTATTTAAAAAAATTAAAAATGTTCATTGGTTTAATTTAATAGTAATGATCTAATAGTAATGATTTAATTGTAATAGTGCTAATCATTTTGTTCTGCCTTTTTACACGGAAAAAGAAGTATGAAAAAAATGTAATAAAATAATATGAGTTTCAATAATTGGTTCAATTATGCAAAAATTTTTAATGTTTTTACAAAAATGTAAACATGATACAGTAGACGTCGAGCGAACGTTTGTCAAACGCAAACCTGTGCTATCTATGGTATTCTTCCTCTTTTCCTTACATAGAATAGTTTACTTTTCTCCAGGTAGTGTGACTATCGACAAAAAGATACTTCAATCGGTAAGCGAAAGTAAGACAGGTAAATCAATTCTACTGTCTAGTGTTTACGGTAGTTGTAAGCATTTCCTCTTTTCATTTGTACATATAGCTTTATATCGTATTTGAGATTTTCTATGTCTATAAAGTGTAAAAAAGTTTTTAGGTTATAAAAACATGACAGTTTATAACTACTAATTGGAATTTCAATTATATAGCATACCAAATTTGAAGTAAAACAAGGTTAATATTCAAGATCTTAGAAGCTTAGTATTTAATTTAAAACACTTCTCCTCATATGTTATCATCTAATTTATTTCATCTAGATACCTTTCGAGATAACAGTTATTCTTGATCATGAAATCATACGAATAGTAGTAATGGAAATTCAGCCCTTTCGCAACCTAGTGTGTATTATATTGGATTTAAAACTAGTATTCTTTTCGTTGCGTTTCTTCATGAGGTCCGTGACACGATTCCGGTCGTTTTTATCATACAGTTATAATCGATCTTACATCCATCGTGTTACTTTAAATATCGCGCGTTATTGATGCGATGACGTCATCGTGTACATTACAACCAGTTTTCAATTCGATTTTAATTTATCTTTCGAAGCATTAGGTATTTCTATAAAAAAATTTTAGTATATTTCCATTATCGAAATTGTTTATAATAATATATACATTGTAAGCGTGAAAACATTTCCTAGAATACCGTACTTTTGGCTTGTGTAACGTGAGAAATTTCATTATACATTTCGTTATTCGGAAAGCCTTAACCAATGTATTACGTCGCATTTGTGCGCATCCAATACGTGCGTGAACGGCTTCGACCAATATTGCGAACGTCTCGAGGTTATTTTCACTTTCGTATAGAGGAAAAGGCAGCATCGCACGGACCGTCGAAGGAAGCTGTTGGCATCGAGGAAGGATGTCGAGATGAGAGAAAGTCGTCTGTTCAGTGAACAGCTCTTCGATTTTTTTTCTTTGATTCCGACAACTATGCGCCCGCGCATTATTGCCGCTTACATAATGCGCAGACGCGTAATCGAAATGCCAACGATCGATGATCGATTATCTGAGTCAATATGACATAGCATTGTTTGGTTATCTTCACACAATACCGTTTTAATTCATTCGATTCTTTTTTGCTCATAATTATCCCCTTGGACCAGAACTGGATTTCCTAATATTACAAATTTGATACTAAAATTAAATTTACGTACAATATACGTATGTATACACGATAAAATATACGGTATATAGTATATTTTTGGGTACAGTGAAATGCATGATAATAGTGTTTACTTTCAAAAAGTATCTCTAATATTCAATTGTATAATATTTCTTTTCTCTATAAAAATTCTTATGGTATGAAAATCTTAAAAGAATTTTAAGTCATGAAAACTATATGCAATTTTTGTCTAAAAATAACGGACATATAAAAGTGGATAGAATAAACGAAATGTCACTTATGTTCTTTTAATTAGATTGTATCTTTATATTAAAGTGTATTTTATGATAATATTTATGTGCATATCAGAATATATATTGAACGTCATTTAATGTAATATCTGCAACATATATCCAATATACCATGCAATCGAAAGGCATTGAAGTCGTGGTTTGTTAGTGGTCAGTAAGTTTTAATAACAAATACGTGTAACGTTGTTCGTTGTAATTTAATAATGGCTTTCTATTGTTCGTTTCTTTTGTCCTTACGTATTCAACTTTTTGCCCCTAATAAAGTTGTTCTTGAGCCTACGTGATCCACAAACCAAACGAAATTTGATCATGTAAACATTTCTTCGAGAAGGGATTAAGCAACTTCGGCACGATAGGCGCCTAATTCACCGACATACTCGTGCTGCCCTTGTCCCCTTTCCAGAACTACGCTTGCGCCACCAGGGATGAGCGTGCGATTCGCATAATAGAATAGACATGGATTAAATATTAATTCTTTGATGTAGTATTCATAGTATGACAAGTTTGATGAAAACGCTCCACTTCCATACCACGATATTTCGTAAATACTTTTTCTGTTTTCGAAATGATTATCTAAAATCTTAAGAATTTTTGTATGACTTAGATTATTATATATTTTTATATAATTATAATTCAAACTAAATAAGTAAATAAATGATAAATCTTTGACCTTTAAATTTAAAAGAACAGTCAAAGTGTGTATTTCGTATTTGTATAAAATTTATTTATTTATTTTATTTTTACAATATTAGCATATGCGTGGATCAAAGTGCAGATCAGAATAGACAATTGAGATCGATGCAATTGGAGATGGAAAATTTTCAACGACAATTACAAACGGCTTCATACGATCGAGAAAATGCTATCCAGGAAAATCGACGAATCCAAGATGATTTGGCTGCTACTACTTGCGAAGTGAGAAACCTACAGCGTGAATTAGAAGCATCTCGTGCTGAATCATTTGATCTGAAGAGGCAACTTCAAACTTACGTTAGCGAGGTTCGCAGGGCCGAGGAGCTTCTTAATAGAAAGGTAACTTCATGGAATGATAATTCAAATTTCATTCCTTTTAATTCTTCATGTTTCAAAATCGTTATAGTGATGCCATTGAAACCTTAAGATTTTTTATTATACATTTATACTTATATATTTAATTACTTTTCATTGAGGACTTTTTTGAAAATATCTAAATCAATTTTTTTTTTTTTTTTCGTTCACTTTACAGGAAAATGAAAGAACAGAAATGTTGAATCACTTTAGAAGCTTAAGTTTGGAGGCTACCGTTTTGGAAAATAATAACCATAGTTTGGAGTCTGAAGCAGCCGAAGCAAGGGGAGCTCTGCAATCAGCTAGGGATCGACTACTGGATTTCGAACGACAATTAGCGGATAAAGATAGTTTAATAAGAAGTTATGAAACACAGGTTGACCATCTCAATATTCAATATTCAATATGAATGTTTTTATTCACAGGAAATATTATATTAATTTCAATTTTTCAGATCAGTGAATTAACTCAAAATGTGGCTAGTATGGAAACTCAGTTACGTCAGCAAGGGGAACAGAAACATAGAGCAGAAGCTGATTTAACTGCTGTTAGAGATCTATGCATGAAATTGGATCAACAGAAGGATGTACTTATGCAACAGTTGGATGATAAGGATACACTTAAAGCACAGGTAAATATTCAAACCGGGAATTTTATTATTCTTTTTCACGTGTAATGGTGCGATAACAAAATTGAAAAGAATAGTTCTATAATTTGTGCTCGATTTCTAGTACGACATGCAGATTGCTAAATTAAAAGCGGAGCAAGCTGTAATTCAAGACCAAATGAATAAAGATCGCGCGACAGTAGAGCGCCTTGAAATATTATTGGACCAAGCAAGACAAGAATCTATAACTGTGCAGGCTAATAATCAGGAGCTGCAAAATGAAATGTCCAGATTGAGACAGAAAATGTCTGAACTTCAGAATAAATTGTAAGAAGTTTAACTATTATCTAGAATAGTTAAGTATTAGGATAATTTTACTAATTTAAATAATTAATACGTTCCATGCTTAGAGAAAAATAAGTGTATGATGTAACTGTAAATTTGAATGATCTCTTCAATGAAATATGATAACTTTGTCAATTATTCTAGATTAATGATAATATATGGAACCTGTTAATTAATGAAAAGTCAATAAATTTCAAGACACAATCGTATTTTCTTTAATACCATAGATCTTCAGAATCGACAAAACTCCGACAGTATCAAACTCAAGCCGCAGAATATTGTAAACAGATTAGTGATCTTCGTAGGCAAGTTACGAACGAGAGATTTGATCGTGCAAGAAAAGAAGAAGAGAATCGCAGGTATGTATATACTGAGAAGTCATTATTCATGATTTAAATTTTCAGACGAGTAACACTTAAACCAATTATAAAATCGAAATAGCAATATTTTTTGGATTATGTTTTTTCTAGAAATTCAGAAGGTTTCCCTGATTCGCTTGCCCAAACTTCATTTCCTAATAGTCAAATATCTAATGAGACTAATGATGCAAAATACAGGTTAGAGAAATAATTAATTAAATAGTGCAACTTTAGGTGCAGAGGCGGATTTTTTTATTCTAACTTAAACGTTTTTTTACTTTATATTTCTTAAAGATGATTACTTTAGCAATTTGATAATTTTATATTTAACAAAAAATAATCATTATTCGTGATAAAAAGTTATATTATCATTGGTATTTTATTTGTAAAATTTTTACTAAACATTTTTTATAATTTTTATTGTTTTCAACATTTTATGGTTTTTATTATTTAATATTTATTTTTATTTATTTTTTATATATTTACTTTTTAGTATGTAATAAAGGTAATTTCAAAATTTGAATATTGACTAAATTATTTTCCACCTCTGCATTACACTTTCGAGTTCAAGTGATAAAAATAAAAAAATTAAACTGCCAGGCAAGTAGACTGGCTGAAGAAACCTTACACCGCGATTCCCAAATATCCCCATACATATAGCGGTGCGCGATCGGTAATAGAGCGACATTCCTTTCCCTCGGATTGCAAGTGTTTGCCGTCGAGAAATGTTTTGCATGATCCACCATCGGAAAAATCGCCATTTATGCCTTGTATTTCGAATAATGAAGCAGATGACTCAAAACAGAATAATTTTAAGAATTTTATCAGATGTCCAAAACCTTCGTGATTGTATCGGAAACTATTTTGCATATGTTCTGTAGTAGTTTCATTAACCCTTTTAATGCAATATTCTTTTGCATAGAAGTAATAAATCAATTTCAATGCAACAGTTTGAAACTACTTATTAACTTTAATATTAATATTTGTATTTTTCTATAATATGAGGAACTTGTGGTTAAACACATTGAAATTTTAATGAAGTTTGAAAAAGTACTAATATATTAATATATTCTAAAGAGTGTAATAGTTTATTTTATAAATTTATTCCTGCATTTTTATTAAGATTAACAATGATTTATTCATAAGTCATTGTTAATCATTTAGTACTTTACATCCAACTAAACTATTTGTTTTTTTATTTACAGGTCTTTAAACTCAACTCCAGACAGTTTTAATGTAGATTTAAATGTGGTTATATAAAGTCATTTAATCTACTCTAATCAATAGATATTTGCAGAATGAAACAAGCAGAGAATACACTGGACAGTCTGAAAAATGTGGAATGAAAATAGTATATCCCACTGCTGTGTCACATTTAGGATACTCAAACTTGCAAAATAACTACAGATGCAATAATCATACGATAAATGTTCAACCTGATGTTCCTTGTATAAATATAATTCTACGTTCAGACTGCAAAATGCATTCAAGCCAGTATAACTATGTACAAAAGGAAAATAGTCACAATGAGAATACACTACTGTCCCAAGCAAACAAAGATTCAGTGAGGACTGAATCTAAAGCATTAAATATGCCACAATTCAATTCATTTAATAGAAAATATGATCACTTTGTTTTTGGTACAAAAAATCGTTTAGATGTATCACAATCAGTAAGATTGCAATATGAAAGAAAATATAATCAAGGTAATAAGAATTTAACTTCTAATAATGTTTCACAAATTCATTACAATAACAGATCATGATTTTCATATTATGCTGCTCATTCAAATAAGATATCAAGTAGTAATAAGTTACAGTTAAATTTAACTACTATAAACTTGTTTTCCAACATTCATGGAATAATTTTAGGACAAATGACAATGTTGGATAAGGATATAACAAAAGATGTAAATACAGATGATAGTATTAAAACGAATTTTAACAGCTTTTCTGTAACAAAATTAGAAAGCAGTATAAAACAGAAAAATGAAAATAATGTTTCTAGAATTATAAAGACAGATTTGGCACCAAATTTAGAAAACATTGCTAAAACTGAACAAAATTTTGTAGAGATTATTCCCATAGACCTGAAATCAACTTTGAAACATTTTACAAACTTAGAATTAAAACCTTCAAATACATTACTTAACTCTAAATTTACAGAACTGGAAAGTTTTCCAAAATCTATGAAATATAAACCATGTAAAAAAGGTTTTTATATGAATTCTCTTACAGCACCTGATATTGCTAAAAATTTAATGAAAAATGATGGTGTTAAAAACACTATTTGTATTAACGAAACAAACGATATTTCCAAAATTAATGATGAAAAATATAAAACAGAAACAAGTTATGAAAAAAGTAAATTTGATAAAAATATATTAGGAATTAAAAAGTTCACAAATTTGTCAATTGAAAAAAGTATGGATACCTGTACTAATACAAATTGTAATGGAATGAACTCTTCTATATTAAATATAGACCAAGACGAATGTGGTACTAGAATTTCAAATACAAGATCTACAAGTCATATATTTTTGCAGTTTAAAAAAGATTTTCATTATAAGAAATGTGAAACTAAATGCAGTAGTACAATTAATAATACTGTAAACATATTGCAAAATATGGTAAAAGATGTTAAAAAATTTAAAGATATAGATATGACAAAATATAATGGTCAAAATGATCAGTATAAAAATATAGATAGCAATTGTATGAAAGAGAGAAATGATGTAATTTTATCAAAAATTAAACATAATTTTTTTAATCAGTCAGAAATAATCAGACCAGAATACATGAAGATGTTACAAGAAATTAAAAAACATACCGAGAAATTGGAAGAACAATTAATTATTATGAACAAAAATAAAAATAAAAAAAAAATAAATAAAAAATTAGATTATACTTTAAAAAATTATATTAAACAACAAAGAGATATGATTACACAGAATCCTGAAAAAAAAAATATTTATGTACAAGAACCATGTTCACATGATAATATAAAGTGTTTTCAAGACAAACTATTAAAATCCGGAAATAATTTGAATTTGCAATTAAAACAAATTACAAGACAAGATAGAAACGTATGCAGGAAAGCTTCTAATATTAAGGATATAAGTTATAAAAGAAATAATATGAAATCATTGGTATACTGTGATAATGATTGCTTAAGAAGCATAAAAAATGTCGAAATTCAATGTGTAAGATCTTTTCATATTTTTGATTCATCGAATTTGAAACCGCTTGCTACGTCTACACCTAAAAAAGTTAGACCATTGAAAAATGAAAAAAGTCTTCATAACATATCAAATTGTACTCAAACAATATCTATACCTAAAGCAAATTTACAAATAACACATATTAAGAAAATTGTGTCAAATGAATTCAAAAGTTCTATGATAGAGCAAGAAAATAAAGAGATTAAACCGATAAACATAAATTCAAATTGGGACGAAAATGCTATTATAATGTTACTCTTAACAAAAGATACAAATGGTAAATGTTTGAAGTGTAAATACAAAAAATCAGAGTTTTTACATTTTAGGCCGAAAAATAGTACTAATTCACTAATGTGTGATAGAAAATTGACTAAATATAGATTATCTAAACAAAAAATGCAGATACCCATTGTGTTCAAATTAATGTGTGTCAGATGCAAAAGTGAAGACGATCTTCACTCTAATGAATATAATCGTAAATATAGTGCAAAAAGCTGTGCAAACAGTTGCAAAGTATCAGATTTAGTAACGACTGTATACACTCAGTCATCCAATTTACAGATTACTACTGCCACTTCAGTTTCTTGTATTTCGTTTACCAATAGGAATGATGTAAGAAATTTTAATGAAGAAAGAATAGGGAAAG